CGCACGCCCACCCAGGGACGAGACCACCCGGCCAGGACGCCCCGCATGTAGCACCACTTCACAACACTGCCCCACAGCCGGGGCCGTCGTCGAGGCAAGCCGCTGAGGCGCTCGCCCAGGCCCCGCTCTCCTAGGCCGCCGCGCCACCACGCCGCGGGACTCAACGTCCACGATGGTGCAGCCCTCGCACCGCGCCACCACAACCGCCGCCCGCGGGGGTGGTCGGCCCCACGCTACCGGCACGCGACGTCATCCCCCCACGGGGCACTTCAAGGTTGGTCCTATGCGTGGCCCCACCCCTCCGTCTCCTGCTCACGGCCCCGCGCCGGCGCCACCGGGCACCGAACCCGCGCAGCCGTCGCCAACGGCAACACCCACCCACCACACCGCGCCCCGACCACCGACGCCGAGCCCCACACGACGCACCGCCGCGCCCCGGCGGGCGCGCCCCCCGCGGCGCCCCCCCGCCCCGCCCACGCCCCCGGCCGCCCGGCGCCCACCCCCCCCACGAACGCGCGGCTGGCCTCCGCTCCACGACAAACTGCTCCCCCCTCTGCCCCTCGACGCCCGTCTAACAACGACCCGGATTCTCCTCCACGCACCCACGTTCCTCTTCAACTCCCTCACAACACTAAAAACGGTGCGTCAAAGGTGTCTCTCCATAAGTCATTGGGGCAACCCCCCTGTTCACGCCACATGCTACAGACTCTCGGATTGCTTCGCTTCCTCTCAAAAAATCTGACGTAGGAGGAGACCACACAAAAAGTGAACTCGCCTTGTAACATAACTTACATAAATTCAACTTTACTTTTTTCTCTATCTGCCTTTTTCATATTATATCGGGGAAGGAGTAATTACCACAAGTACGCCTTACACCACGCCCTCCACACCCCCTGACTCTTCACTCGCAACACCATCGAGGAATCTCACACCTCCTCATATCGACATAACTCTCCCATCATTCCAAACCTTGCCATCACACACACCAACCATCCAGCTCACCTTCCAGCACCACACCAGAGAACTCCTTTCTCAGCCCCCACACACAACAAACCGCCCACCTGTCACACCCAACAGCTCACCCTCTCTCTCTCCATCCATCATCTCTCAGCCGCCACACCTCTCTCTCACTCACTCTCAACACACACGCTTCTTCACTCTCTCTTATTTCTTTAATTCAGACAGTGAAGGACATAAATAAAGTCTGAACAGTGCTGCTAAGGTCTGTTCAACAATCTGTTTATTAGAGTCAGACAGGATATGAGTTGTATTTGTCACCATCAAATCATTAAGAAATGAATGAGCATATGGAACCAGACCAGTGAATTCTCACCATTACCTTTAGGACATTATGTGCTCTATACATACTGCTTGTAAAAGTAACCAATATTCAAAGTCATTTATCCATCTTTTTCTTTCATTCTTCCTTTTGTAAGCATCTCTACTTTTTTTTAAAGCGTTTTAGTATTTTTTTTTCTCTATTTATTCTGTGTGTATCTGTTGACCTGGGTGGAGGGTGGAGAACAACATTATTAAAGACATTACACTTATATAAAAAATTTTCCACTCTAATTTTATTTGACGTCATAAATCCTTTTAAATTAATGAATACAGGTCTAGAAATATAATGCTGGAATGAATACTAAATAGTTGCTGTTGTTCAGTTTTCCTCACCTTGCCCACATGTGTCTCACCAGCCTTAATAAAAAAATTCTAATATTTCTCTCCTCCCTTGCTCGCTCCCCCTTCTCCCTCTGTCTCTCTCCCTCTCTGTGTCCCAGTGGCGGCTGGCGACACTAGTATCGATGTTAGCGGTGTTTTCTCTCATTAATTTATCAGCCTGACGGAGGAGGGAGGCCTCAGTGGGGGGAGATAATGGCTTCCATTTGGCCAAGGTCAACAGTCAACACATTCCTCAGTTGTTCAAATATAACCACACATTAACTTGTGTCCACCAATACCAGACGGGCATACACACACACACACACACACACACACACACTCACACACTGCTAATAGATTGTGGGTGAGCTGTAATACTGTCCTGCTTGTCTTGGGTTTCATCGTATTGATACAAAGTTATGGATCTTCAGATATCAGTTGAATATCAGAAATTATGATACTGAGAAATAAAGGACTTTCCTGTATCTGTTTGGGAACTAAAACAAGGTTTAACTATTTAATATTTTAGAAATATATTGGCTCTGTTTCACTGGGTTTTCATTAGGTCAGGGTAATTGTGGTTAGGTTATGGTTTTTTCATATATTTACTTAATTTAATAAAAAATAAAAAAACAACCTAGCTAAGTCAAGGTAGTCTACACTTTTTTGTTCATACAATGATTATACAGTGAGGGTTTTATTTTGTTCTAGTAAGCCATGCTGGGTGACATGTTCCTTCACTGCCACAAACACACACCCTTGACTCAATCCTACATACAAATACTCACCACATGTGGATTACTCCACTGCTAAAAGTAGTCCCCAACAAGTGCAGCATTTACTCCTGTTTGAGTAACGTTTTTAGGATTTTTTTTTTTTGTTTCAGTTGGAACCAATGGGCTTGGACCTGACATCAGAAAGTCCTGACAAGCAAAAAAAAAAAACAGAAAACAAAACAAACAAAACTTTTTAAATATTGAGACTAATAATGTCAGTGACAGCATTAGTAGAGGTTTTAATAGTGTTACAAACTATGATTACAAAATTAGAGAGATGTTGTTATGGACATGTACAACTGTCAACAAACTACAATTGATCCTGACAGGGCAACCGACAAGTTGTTGGGTTGAGTCTTTGCATGCGATTAAAGAGGAACTTTTTCAGCTTAATAAACCCTTAGAACATTTGGATGGTAAATGGCCTGTTTCGGTGAAAATGGTGACCCCCCCCACTCCCCCTCAGGCGACCCCAGCTTGTGGGAAACCAAACCTTGCAACTTTGGGATTACCGTCCCGGTAATTGGAAATAGAAGTATCGCGAGAACGAGGAGAAACACGAACGGTTTTACGGCAATTCACATAAACGCACAACGCCGCCCTCAATAACAGTTAGTGTATAATGTATTGGCCCCTCGGTGAGATATTGCTCCACACCGAAAAGTTGCCCGGCGAAAAAAAGGCAATCAGCAGCGGTAGAAAGGGGGAGGGAGGTGCCGCAAGTTTTTTTACGACGTGTTGTGAAATACACGTCCAGAGCTGTAGGGGGGCTCGTTGAGAAAAACATGCGACGACTAAAGTGAAAACCAGCGAAGAAATGGCTAGAGTTGCCAAGTTTCCCCTTTAATTGACAATAAGAAAGATACAGGATAACAGCAGACCTTGATAATACAGTGAAAGACTTACAGAAGAACTGGATGGACACAGCGTTTTGACAATATCCTTTTGCTTCTGAAAGGGTTTATGATCCTGAGAGATTCGGTAAAATATATGTGTGTGCGTGTGTGTGTGTGTGTGTGTGTGTGTGTGTGTGTGTGCTGTGTATTGTGTGTGTGTGTGTGTGAAGTGACCAGATCAGATGGGCACTTTGGAATCAAGCAGCTATCTGCTGAACATTTCACCCACCAACTGTGTGTGCTATCCCTCCGAATATTGACTTTACCCTGCACAATTTGTGAACCATTACACAATACAGAGGATGAGATCAATGTGCATACTGTTGGTTTTGGAATAGTCTTGTGTGTGTGTGTGTGTCGTGTGTGTTGTGAGAGAGAGAGAGAGGCCACTGAACTTCAGTAATGTAACTCAAACAAGGTTATGAGAGCAGTGAGCTTTAATCCTTGAAAGTTCCACATCAGCCCTGTTATTCTCTCCATAACAAACCCCAACAACTGTAATCATCTTCTATTAAAACATATTGTATGAGTATCAGTCAGCCCTCTGCTATCTGTCTGCTGCCCCTGCCTCCTGAGGGTTCACTCAATCATTAACCTAATCTACTTACCGAAAAACTCCCACTCAGTGTTTGCATGAGAGCTCAATGATAAGCTATTTGAAGTTGAATGTGGTGATGGGACAACCATTGACATGGACTAAACTGTTTGCTGATCTGTGGCTGCCTTTGATTCCCCAGAGATCAGGAGGGAGAGAACCTGCAAAGTGAGGAGCAGTGGTTGGAGCTGTATATCTGACCTTTATATATCTAGCATTAATTTTGTTTTCCTTACATACAGTCACAATTAGTTCAGGTAATCTTCTCCTAAAGGCCACAGTGTGGTTGTGAATCTTCCTAAAAAGTACTTTGAGAGGTTCTGGTTGTCTGTGAGATAAGGTGGGGCTGGCAATGAAATTAACAATAAATCACATATGAAACAAATTAACATTTTTTTTTAGTAAATCAAAATATATTCATTTTTTAAGTTAACTGGGACATAAGCTGCAAACTGTGTTAGGTTATAGATTGTTATGGCAGGGATCAGGTTCTAATAATCCATGTGAAGAGGGCAGAGATGGATGATCTTACTCAGGCTAATTCCAAATCAGTGCTGCTGATTTTGTTTTAGTCTCATCCACAATGTAGGATAAGCTCATAGACACTGATGCATTTTATAGACTTAAAATTAGATACAGTTTGAACTTAATGTCAGTAATATGAATCCTTCATACATTTTAACTTTGCTTTTGATACTTTAAGTATGTACTCTCAAGTCAAATTTGAAATGCAGTTTTTACTCGTAAGGAACCGTTTTATAATGCTGTATTTAAGTTGCTTGTATTTATTTGCTGTAGGTTCACTATTACTATTACAGTAAAGGGAAAATAGTTATTTTGAAAAATGTATTTGAGTTCTGACTTTAAACTATTTTCTTTTAAACTTTTTTTACTTTAGCCTCAGAATTCAGATTATTTATTTTATTTTTTACTTTCAACTCAGAATTAAAATTTTTGCTTTTACTCTAAACTCAGAACTATATTTTTTATGTGGCCCTAATTTCTTCTGTATGAGCTACACCAAAAAAGTGACACATTTATTCTTACGACAAAAATAGTTTATTAGATATCACCAAACAAAACATCATGTGGCAGCAGCCCATAAGAGCATTTTACATCCACACACAGTACAGGAGAGACTTATCTGCAGAGGATGGGCGGATCTAGAGAAGAGGGTGGCAGAAATATATGCTGATTTAATCACAAACAATCACATATATCAATATTTGTTTGGAAAAGCCCCCAAATTAAGATATTTAAACTCAAAAACAGTATTGTGGCACATTAGTAAAGCATTGAACAGAAATATCTAAAGGTAACATTAAAAATCAACACATTTCCAAATCTTTAGAAATTTTAGACTTATTTTTTCTAAAATGTGGACTTAACTGATAATCCAATTAATTTCAAAAAGTTTTTTTAACAGCTATGTTTATAATTAATTACTTACTTTAATTACTAAATTAATGAGTTTAATTTGACACTAAACTGGGTTGACAGCTGAGGTCGCTAATAGGTGGCAGGTGCCACCATATGCCGCCCCTCCAGATCCGCCCCTGCTGTAGAGCAGAAACATTCAACACAAATACAACAGAGTACTAGGCATTATATACAAAAAGACAAATGTAAAATAGAGATGACAATCCTGTGTGAAAGGCGCTGGAAGATAAAATGTTACCAAAATATAACATCAGGAACCAGTCTGAAATCCTGTCTGTCATTCTGGGTGAAACAGCCCCAATGAAGGTCCTGTGATCTTCATCATCCAGCTCCTAATTATTGTCCAACTGAATCCAGTATCAGTGGAGCCCGTGTGTGGTTCAGAACTAGGGGTTCAGTGTGAACTCGGCGTCGTCCTCTATGTCCAGCTCCTGGTCTGTATCGTCTGACACGTCAGAGTCCAGCTCTGTGTGGGGCTGCTGCGGGGACACGGAGTTCACGCAGCGGCCCGTCTGAGCCAGCTCGGAGGCCGGGACTGTGTGTCTGTGCTTCGGGCTCTGGATCCCGGAAGGCTCGGTCAGCTCATCTCCTTTATGACTCCTCCCGGCAGAGTTGTCCTCCTCCACGTCCCTCTTACTTCCCTGAGGGTTTTCCTGGTGGAAATTTAATTAAATGCAATTAGTAGGCTATGGTTGGTTAATAATACTTCAATAATAATAATTCAATGAGAAATAAACGGAACAATTTCTAATGTGACAGTGAAAACTTCTCACCTGTTTTAGTCTTCGCCACTTCGCTCGTCGATTTTGGAACCAGGTTTTAACCTGAAAGACAAAATGGAAAATAAAGATTCATGCTCCTTCTATGAGATTGATTACAATCAAATATTAGAGTTGAAGAAACAGCAGCACGCAGCAAATCCTGCTGCGAATCCACTCAGCAACAGTAAACCTTTGACAGTGTGAGGCCTGTAGGCCTGCGCATACAAAATAGGGAGTCATCTGATTAATCGATGTTACAAATATTTCAAACAAACCTCAATTAACAAGCTGACATAAAACATTTTGAAGTATTTCTGGGTGGAATCCCAGTGAACATTTTCCGTTGAAAAGACGTGCAAAAAGCGACTATGTGAAACTTCCACCAGGATTTACAATAGTGACATTTCCATCCTCTACAATGTGCAAATATTAACTTATCGTCAGTTTGGACCCCGCGACACATCCCAAATTCTCATTTGAAAGCCACTAATTATAATAAATTGCAACACTTAGACTTGAACATTGTTGATGACAATATAACGGTTTTTATTAGATGTAAATATGTAAATAATAACGGCGTAACATATAAAGTGTTAACACTGTTAATATATTGAGTCATTCAAATATATGAATTAACTTTATTATGCTTCACGCGCCAGGTGCGAACCCCATCTTCTCTGCGCTTAGACCAAAATACATAATGATGTGTATATATAGGCTACAGTATATAGATAGCTATATATATATATATATATACACATGTCCGAGTGGAACAGCGCCCAGACAGATCTGTGAAATACAATAAAACTCTGCTCACCTGTCTCTCACTGAGCTGCAGCATCTTGGCCAGCCGCTTCCTCTCCGGAGGTGACAGATACTTCTGCGTCTCGAACTTCTTCTCCAGCTCGATCGTCTGGTCGTTAGAGAACCGGACCTGACCGCCCTTTCTTTTGTGCAAGGGCCGCTGGATAAACGGGGTCCACAGCAGAGGTTTACCTACAGAGGAGGAATAAAATAATTTATTCATGAATTAAAAATAGTAAAAATAGAGGAAAGAGGAGTGAATATGATGAAAAATAAATGTATTGCACATTATTAAAGCTACAAGAGTTTAATAAACAGTTATTAGTGTATATTGTTGTACTTGTTATTGAGCAGATTTATTTGGAGCAGTGCAATCAGGGCTCTTTTAGTCTGGTTTCCTCTCCGGTTAATGGTCTGGAACAAACAATAGCAGAGGCTGCAGGCCTGCCTGCTGCACGCTGTCTTTTAAGGAAGGTCGTGACAGAGTGAAAACTATGGCCAAATATCCGCTTCATGTGCTTCCTGCTCTGCGGTGTGATTATAGGCGATGGCATCCACCAACAGACACTCATGTCCTCTGCTCTCACTGACACAATATAAATGTGTTGTGGTCGAAACTGTTGTCAAAGACCTCCTTATTGCTGCTTTGTTCCAAAGGAAGTTAGCTAATCCAGTCCCATGAGAGAGGCTGTGTTCTCAAAACAGATATATATGCCCTCAAAAATTTCTATCATTTTCATTAAAACGTTTTTTTTTTTTTTACAATAGTAGCAATCTTTAATAAGTGATATGCGTATTCTATATAAGACCATTAAAAAAAAACTATTAAATTAAATGAATATTTTAAACTTTGTCAGTCTTAACCAGGGGCAGATTAGGGGCAGCTGTTAAATTTAACACATTAAGTTACATAATTTTTTTAAATAACTTGTTAAAAACAAAAATTAACATATGATTGACACATTTTACAATCAGTGATCGGCTTAATTTAAATGAACAAAGACGTATTTAGAAAAATGTCTGAAGATTTGGAAATTAAAAAGTGTACTGAATTCTAATGCCACCTTTAGATATTTCTAGTGCTTTACTAATAACACACAATACACAATAATGTAATTTTTTTGAGTGCAAATATCTTTTCAGAGCAAATATAGATATATGTGATTGTTTGTGATTAAATTTCTGCCACCCTTTAAAGTCTCCCTGCCACCCTCTGGACACCTTATGGATATTTCTCTAGATTCGCCCCTGGTCATAACTATCTTACACCACTGGCTATAGGTATAGAAGTCAATATGCTAATGAGAGAACAGATTTATAGGAGGCTGCAATAAAGCTAATCTTATTAAATGACCAACCTAAATTATTAATCTAACATTAAGCATTTTGAAGTCCTAGATGTGTTGATATTATTAGGCTGCTATTGTTGATTCTCGGTTCAATGAATAACAGCCTGCTGCTACAGTAGACCTCTTCATTTAGATCTCTTTTTACTGACTTTAAAGTACTTTATATTACTTTTAACCAATTTGCATGGGCGGAAATATCCATGGGTGTCCAGATGGTGGCATGGAGGCAGAAATGCTGATATAATCATAAACAATTACATAGATCAATTATTGATTAGAAAAGCCCCCAAATAAAGATATTTGAACTCATTACTCATTACATATATGTCTTTTTCCATTGAACTTAAGCCATTGTTTAATGCGATATTTTTTAAATAAATTTAAATGATTGTGTTAAATTTGGCAGAATCTGACACCAAACTGGGGTAGCGAGGCCTTTCCTTAGGGGTGGCAGCTGTCACCACATACCCTCTAGATCTGCCCCTGCCAAATAGGCGGATTTCCTATTCATGTTTCTGCATATTACAAAAAAGTATACAAAGCTATAAATACATTCAGCAGATTTAATTAAACCGTAGGTCTGTAGGTCAGATCTGTTATTCAGCTTCTATGTTCCATTCATATTTACACCTTGTAGAATTGTAACAGCCTGAGGAGAAAATGTGAATGCTTATAGCCCTTTATATAAAAGAGAGTATTGTTATGGGCATATTCATTTTTACTATTTTTAATTTGTGCTTTTGTTTGTTGTATGATTTATAATAGATCATACTTGTTTGTTTTTATTTAACACGCTGCTATATGTCACTTGAGGCTTTCCTTTTTGTATTGTCCTACTTTAAACTGCTCTAAATGAGCCTTTATCTCCTCTGCTAAGATCCCATTAGGTCCTGATGTGCTGCCCTGTTTGCTTTATTTTCTTCTCGCCGCCGACCATAAAGAAAGTCAGCCACATCCTCGCTGGCCGGGCCAGAGGAAGTGCAACAATATGTGAAAAACGGATCCCGGGCTATCAGAGGCCGAGTGTTTCCTGAATATGTCTGTATTGAGGATGTCGATAAAATAATCAGCAGCGTGCAGCGAGCTCCCGAGGAAGCGGCTGGCCGGGGTGAGCCAGGAAAACATTTAACAGCTTCTGAAACCAGATTTACTCCTATCGACAGCCTCACGGCTTCCGCTATGAACGGAAAAAGGCCCGGCTGGTTCAGTCAGACGGTCCGCTTGTCACACTATGCTTAAGAGGACCGCCACTCACAGCTTCTAGTAACCAATGATTTAAAGCCGCCAATGCGCCATACTTCCCCCGTACATATTTTATAGGTGCACCACTGCGTCAAACTGAAATATTTTAGTGTCTGTATTTCCTAAAAAATCTACCTGACAGACATGATGGCTAGAAAAAGCTGTGCGTAATGGTGGACCCTGTGGATCTGACGGAACTGTAGTAAGTAAGTAAGTAAGTCATCTCAAATCCTCAGCGTTCCTATAGAGGCAAGAACCGATAACCAAAAAAGAACCGATCTGCATGCATTTATAATAATTGTATTCCTTATATGGGGGCGTTTGGTGCTCACAAGTATGTGAAAACACACACAC